TATATATATATGTATATTTCTTTTTACACATTTTATGTGAGAGTACATATGTATATGTGATAATTACGCACGCTCATAGAATGAAATAATAAAATGTTATTGATCCATTTGAACTAAATGTTATTATTTATGAGTAATAAGGAGAATACAAATTTATAAATCTTTTCTTTTTTGTTTGTTTGTTTATAGGAAGATAATATAAGCAAGCATGTAACTGAAATTCTAAGTGCTTGGGCAGAATGGTTACCAAAAGAGACAGTTACCAGTCCTAATGTTCCAGCTGAAGATGTCGATGTCAGATTGGCACGTATGTTGGAGTCGCAGAGTCTTCCAACTACAACTCAAAAAAGTTATACGGAAGAAGAAAGACGAATACGCGAAGCAATATTAGCACAGTACAGTCAAATGTCCGATGAAGAGGATAGCGAGGGTGACGGGGAAGAGGAAGGTGCTGGTGGTGGTAAAGAAATTGGTATTGAGAAGAATTTGAATGCTGCTAATATAGTGCAACAATTAAAGGAAAGGAGAGAAAAAGCAAAATTAGAAAGTCAAAAAAAGAAAGAGAAAGATAAGGAAGATAGGTAAAGTTTTTTTTTCTTTTTTCTTTTTTTTTCTTCAACTTTTGTATATTCCTTTATGCAATTGTGCAACAATGAAGTATAATTAATTAATTGTTTACAATTACAGAGAGAAACAGAAGCAATTGAAAGATGAGAAGAAAGAAAAGCGCAAGACACAGAAGGGTGAGAGAAGAAGGTAGCACCGTTGTGAAGGAATCGTATTATATCTCTTTCTCATTTTTAAATAACTGAATTTTCTCCATTTACAAGCTGATTTACTTATCTATATATATATATATATTATTTTTGCATGCAAAAATTTCTCATTCATTAATTAATAATATCTCTCGTTTAGTATTATCGTAAAGATTTGATAATCTATCTGATGCTTCTTCGTTAAAATAATACGTACTTCAATTATTTTGTTTTCTACGGTATAACTGTAAATCTTTTCTTGACTTTTTGATTTTATTAATCTATTCTATCTGTCCGTTGTATAATCTCTCTATTTGTCTTTTTTTTTTTATATATATTTCCATGTTGTTTCTTTTTTTTTCTTTTTCTTTCAACGTCGTCGTTCGTCGTAATTTCGTAATCTGGATTAAAAGTTTATATTCGAGCAATATTTGATAATTTTGTTAATTCTTATTAGTTACAATATATATATATATATACGTATATATATATATATATATTTACCAGCTTGGTATATCGTTTTTATTTTTCTCTAATTAAAATGAATCACGATATTTAATATACTGATATGTTAAATAAAATGTTTTAATTGCTATAGAGAAAACATTCATTTTTCAATGATATATTATATCTATTTGAAATCATTACCAAATAATTGGGACCAAAATAATAATTGATTCCTCCTCCGTTCGCTATAATTTTCTTTATTAGTATATATTTACACACAAGATACTAAGTCGAAACCGAGTCATCTTGGTATTGCATTAATAATGAAAGACAAACGCAGTAAGATAAGAACAAACGAACAAATGATACAAAAGATGATGATGCTTCAGTATCGTATCATTACATATATATATATACTTTTTATTATTTTATACTAATAATGTCATTATCATAATCGTTTATCGTTAGCAATTCTCTCTTTGTTTTGCTATAATTAAAGATTGCAGGCATAAATTGACGATTTCGCGTTCTGTTGCTGCAAATGATGGTTTTTTACGCTTAACACAAGGTGTATGTATACCCGTCTGTTTGTTTTAACGCGAAAATTACACATCATCATCATAATCATCATCATCATCATCATCATCATCATCATCATCATCATCGTGCAATCGTTTCATTACAACTCTCTTTCTCTTTCTTTCTCTCTCTCTCTTCTTATCTTTCTTTCTTCGTCACACGAACGAGAAAGATAGAGAGAAAAAGAAGGGTGGTTGATTATTGATCAACGAGTCGTCGACAAATATGGAGAATGAAAGACAACCTCCCAATAAAAATAACTTGACATCCACAAGAAAGAAAAACAGACAGAGAAAGAGAGATAGATAGATAGATAGAGAGAGAGAGAGAGAGAGAGACAAACGATTCGTAATCCTTCCTTTTAATTTCTCTTCGTCATTTTCGTCTTTGAGGATTGGACGAACATATTTTTCATTTATTCGAAAGTTCAAAGACGGAACACAATTCGTAATTAATCGGATACGATATTTATTTAATCTACGCGACGCGCATTTGATTTCTAATAAAAGGATCAGAGATGTGAAATAAGCTTCGTTAAATACGCGCAAATTCAAAATGGCGTATAACTACCACCTATGATTGTCCATCTACACTCGGCGATGCGCTACTATTCTAATAAATATGTAAAATGTGTGAAATGATAGATGTTGATGTTTTCACAATGCCGTCGCGCATTTATACGTATTTTTTCTTTTAAGAAGAGAATCGATGTAGAAAAAGAGAGAAAAAGAGAAAGAGAGAAGGATCAAAAGAAAGAGAAAGAGAGAGAGAGAGATCGAAATTGGAAGGAAATTGAGTCTCATCTAGTAATTTTTTATTCACCAGACGATTGATCGTTCTTCCATATTTTCTCTTCTCATTTATCTATTTTTTTTTCTTCTTCTTTTATGTTATCTTTAAAACGCATCATGCGTTACAAGTTATACTAATTAATTTTAATGTCGATAAATCTATACACGTTGGGGCTGTTAAACTCGTTAAATTACTTTTACAATCTGATGTTTTTATTTTTTTTAATTTTATTTTCTTCCTATTCTTCTTCTTCTTTTTAGATATATACGCTACTAGTAGTAGTAGTAGAACCTTTTACACACACGCATGCACACTACTTCTCGCACGCTCTGGAGGGTTTTCATTTTTCTTTTTCTTTTTTTAATTCCTTTTAGAGACAATTTTTTTTTTTTATTACATACTCATTCGTTAAAAAATCATCTCCATCATGTGTTCATTCTCTCACTTTTTTTTTTTTCTAAAACTCTGATCACAAAATGTCCAGGACTAGATTGCAATCTGAAAAGCTTTTTGCGTACGCCATTTTAATTCTTTTTACGCGTATCGATATATAAGTATTTTGAAGTATTTATTTTGATCTTAAAAATCCAATGTTGATTGGATAAAAAAAAAAGAAAAAAAAGATGGAGTTTATACTCCCTCTCTCTTTTTTTCTCTTTTTTTTCCCCCCACCCACTCTCCCCTCCCTCTTTCCCGCCTCCTACTTTCTTTTTCTCTTTTTCTTTCGTGTATGAAATTGGGATCGATATTTTATCGGTCTTTATCATCGAATTCATTTTTTCATAAATCCTTTTTTCTTTTTTTCTTTTTGTATCTACTACGCACGGATATACACGTTTGACTGTGTGCGAATGCGTTTTTCTTCGACTTAAAAGATTAAATACAACAGTATCACCTATACACATACAATTTGATCCCGCTGTATATAATAATGAACACAACTAAAAACTTAGGGCTGTACAATTAAACAGTATTCTTTATTTTTTTTTTCCTTTTTTTTTTCTTTTTTTTTCTCCCTCATCTTCTTCTTCTTCTTCTTCTTCTTCTTCTTCTTCATTTCTTTTTCTTTTTCTTTTTATTTTGTTCTCTCTCTTGTTTAGGGTACCTCCCCCGAGTTTTTATGGGGTTGTTATAATTACTTCTTAATGCGCTATTTATATATCTACGTTTGTTTAATTACTATATTTAACTCGTTCTTTATTATTATTATTATTTTTTTCTTTTTTTATTTTATTATTTGTTTGCGTGTGATTTATTATCTTAATACATACTCGTATATAATATGTATATGCAAAGTAAATACGCGTACAAGTGTGTATATCTATATAATAAATATATATATATCTATAGATACATATATTATTATATATACACACGTACACGTAAATATGATTCATTCTTTCAATCTTTTTCTTTCTCTCTTTCTTTCGGTCTTCTTTATTCTCTCTCTCTTTCATGCATTCTCACACATACATCACATACATTCTACTTTCATGCAACCATATTTATTCATACATATTACTCTAAAACGTTATTTTATTATACACAGTTTTGATATCTCCTTCACTGTATATTATACTCGGTTTCTTAATTTCTTTTTTTTTTTTGTTTTTCTTTATTTTTTTCTTTAATTTCTATCTCGATTTTTTTCTTATATAATTCACTACACGAACGTTAAAACTTACAACTTATCCCCCCCCCATTCTCCCCCTTCTCCTCCTCCTGCTTCCCCCTCCAACTCCTCTCTTTTTCGTTCGAGTTCATCGAACTCACCATCCCCTTTTCATTCTCGCGAAAAGATGATAACTCTCGTTAATTTCTGTATTTTTTTTTTCTGACCAATCCCCCACCCCCGGTTTATTTCATTCCCTTTTTCTCGTTTAGATATCTCGCATACGGAAAAATTTGAAGAACGGCTGCGATAGAATTTAATTAGAAAGAACAAAGAATATTAATTAGGCGTGATAATAGACAGCAACACGATAAACAATGTCTGACAATGTTGTTATTGTTGTTGTTGTTGTTGTTGTTTCTCTTCCCAAATATGCAAGTATATTAATATTTCCCTATGTATCATCGACGTTTATAATTTAATTTTGTTTTTTGTTTTTCTATAAAAAAAAAAAAAAAAAATAGAGACTATATTTCAATTGTTTTCTATTTTTATTTATATTTATTTTTTTTATTTTCAACGAACGCGGTTATTTTTGAAAAGACATTTAAAGTGTGTATTTGAAAAAAAAAAGGAGATTATAAATATTTAGTGTCGTTGATAAGAAATTTAATTATGAATAAAGTAAAGAATTGTGACCTTGATTAGGGTACAAAAAAGAAATGAATATTATAATAAGTTATAATCTAAAAATTGGAATCTTCTAATTGGTGACCCCTACAAAAAACACGATTTAAGAGAATCTTAGAAGATCCGCGAACGCGTCGTCTTGTGTTGTGTGTTGTTACATGTATGTATAATATGTAATATGTAATATGTAATATGTAATATGTAATATGTATAAATACGTAATGAGAGAGAACGACGCTAGATTGTTGGATGAGAAATTGTATACAATCGGTCAGTCTTGTCGCAAGTACTTTTTGTTGTTTATTTTTTTATTTTTTTTTTATTTTTAAACATTTAACACCGTACGCGAGTTTTTTTTCTTTCTTTTTTTATTGTTACGATTCACTTACTCATCTATATTTTTATTATTTTTTTTTTTTAAATTTTTATTTTTGTCTCTTCTCATTCAAATGGACACTCGAACAAGATATTATTATATGGTGGTCCACGATAAATTTAATAAACTAATGATCATCTCAGTCGTGAAAGAATATTTTATTACGCGAATTGAATCGTTCATTTAATGTCTAATACATTTACCCCTTTCCCACTACCCCTATTTAAAGCCGATAAAAGGGGTTGTTATTATTAGGAATGATCGATCAAATGGGGAAAAGCTCAATTGAAAAATTGGTAAATCAAATATATATATATATCTAATTTATGAATCGTTTTTCTAACGCGTTGTGAGATTTTTAATGAAGCTTAATTTTTTTTTCTATAAGCCCTCTCTTTATAAATTGGACCAAGTTTATAATTGGTCTGATTATAAAAAATCTATAAGAATTATGAAAGTGAGAGGTGGAGACAACGTGGACGATTCAATGACAGATGATTGATCTATTTTCTTTTTTTTTTTTTTTTTTTTTTACGTACTAATTAATATCTAAACACGATCAAATTAAATAGAAAAGAAAAAAAACATTGATACGAAATAATACAAGGAAGAGAAATTTTCGATTTTCTACAAGTCTCGATTGAATTGACCCAAATTTTGTTCTTTTTGCCAATTATATAACTATATATATATATATANNNNTATATATATATATATATATATATAACTAACAATCTTTCGTGATTCCTACGATATTTTTTTTATTAAAATCGTCTTGAATCATCTAAAGATAGAAATTCAAATTCAAAATTTTTCCTTCCGCGTTCTTAAAAGACATGTGTGTGTGTGTGTGTGTTCCCTGGATATTTTTCACATTGATGTTTTTTTTTTCTTTGTTTTTTTTTAATACGCCAACATTTGAAACAATTGGAACGTCGATGATGAATAATAATCTCGGTGAATTAAATTTTACGATCTATGAAATAATGATATATATATGTATATGTATATGTATATGTATATATCGCTTTTTACATAAAGATATTGGTGTAATTTAACGTGTGACTGGATAATATCGTAATCGTACGAACAATGATAATAATAATAATATAATAATAATAATAATAATAATAATAATAATAATAATAATAATAATAATAATAATAATAATAATACATAATATTAATATTAATTGTAATAAAAGTAAAGGATAGTAGTGATGATGATGATAATAATATTAATAATAATAATAATAATAATAATAATAATAGTAATAATAATAACAATAATAATAATAATAAAAAAAAGAAGCATTATTATCGATATATAAAGACGAATTTCATATGATGTGGAAATTTTGAATGAAATTGGCATTTTACGTATTCGATTACGCAAGCAAATCGCATGTTGCTGCTGTTGCTGCTGTTATACTCAGGAATATAATATCGCAGACTTAATTAAAAGCTGTACAATCCTACAAGATAATGTTTAAAATCTTCATCAATGTTAAATCACACCTTTCTCTTTCTCTCTTTCTCTCTTTCTCTCTTTCTTTCTTTCTTTCTAAACTTTCACACATTAATCATGTAATTAATAATCTTGTAGCGATATTTTGTTAATTTTTTTTCTTCTTCTTCTCCTTCTTCTTCTTCTTCTTCTTTTTTTTTTTCTCTTCTCTTTTTGCAATACTCATTAGAAAGAAAAAAAAAAAAACATTAGTGTGTATTAATATTAATGAAATTATTAACGCGATCGTTATTAATTCTTAATACCAGAGATCTAAATAAGACAGTGGTAGTTTAATATCACAATAAGACTACTACACAGGCCTCGCGAAACTGGGGCACAACTTCGTTTCTGTTTTTATCATTTATTTTATACTTTATAACTTTACTTTTATTTTATTTTTATTTTATTTTTTTTTTTTTTTTCTTTATTTTTAACTTTAACTTTAACTTTTTCTTCAAAGGATTGCTGCTCCTTCTTGCAAAATTCTCATTTTATTATTATTGAATCGAGATTTTTTTTTTTCTTGTCTCTTTTCTTTTTTTTCTCAGCCGTTTGATAACCGTGCGAGAAAAAAAAAAACATATCTCATCTCAGATCTTCTCTCATCAACGTGACGATGAAAAAATAAATTAATAAACAAAAAAAGGAGTCGATAAATATTTTTTTCAAAAAATGTGTCTCGAATAACACATTTTCTCCCACCCCTTTTTCTATCTTTTTTTTTTTTTCATCGTCATCGTTGCTAAACAATTATTATTCTACTATAAGTAATGAACAAAAGAAAGAAAGAAAAAAAAAATATAAATCCATTCGACACACTACACGGACGATATTCATTAAATTATAATAGAGAATATTATTATTATTATTTTTTTTTTCTTTTTAAGCCTCGCCCATTTTACTGCGATGACTTAAAAATCAAAAACAATAATTAATTAGATATATATATATATATATATCTCGTTAAAAGATTATCGATTTAAACGCGACAATTATTCAGATTATTTATTGTAAAGTTTTTTTTTTTTTTTTGTCAATGATTGTTTGTGTCGCGTAAATTTTTTTGATCATCGACGAAATTCCATTCTTTTTCTCTCTCTCTTTCTCTCTCTTTCTCTCTCTTTTTCATTTTATGTTATACATATTCGAGAACAAAAACACATATTTGATTCACACACACAATATACACACGGAATAATTTTCTTCACGATTTTTATTACGATCCTTCCCCCTCTCCCTCCTCAACCACGAGATGGTTTTGTCAGAAATTTGTCGTTCGATTGAAATATTTTGATTCTTTTTGAAAAATTTACTGGACACGATTGTGGATGGGGGTTTAAGGGGGTTGATTAACACGGCTTGTTTTTTTTCCATTAAAAGAAAAAAAGCATCAAGATTTTTCTGATACTCAATTGATTAACTTTTTACCCCTCATTATTTTAATTGAAAGGTTTCATCAATCATGTGTTTTTTCATTCAACCAAATCAAAAAGTTTTCGAGGACACGTGCAATTTCGATTTCAACCTTGTAGTTTGAAATTAGAGGGAGGAGTAAGAGTTGAATTGAATTGGGTTGGGTCTGGGGGTTGGGGGGGTTGGGAGAGAGGCTGAGAATTAAATCGATAATATCTTCTAAAGCCCTTTTGGCATCGAGAGAGAACGTGTCAAGCGTTTTACTACACGGGGCTAGCCATTTCTAAGCGCATCATCAACATCATCATCATCATCATCATCATCATGTGCTGCTACTTGTTGTTGTTTTCGTTCTCATCACGTATTTTCTTTTTTTGTTTTTCTCTCTCTCTCTCTCTCTCACATTTCTATTATATTTTTCTACGACAACGTGTGTTTGATTTCATTATCGAAAACGATTGTTCATAGAAAATTGAAAAGCGTACTTTTTCTTTTTGTCTCTTTAAAATTGAGAAAAAAAAAACAAAAACAAAGAATCTTTCCACTCATGATATTTAATCGATTTTATTAACACGCCGTTCGTTGTTATATATAGAGGGCGTGTTTTTTTTTTTTTTTTTTAATGAGATCATACCTCTCGCTTTTTTGAGTCGTTAAAAATTTTTAACAACTTTTAGAATTGAACAACAACAATTCTTTTAATAATAAATTGACCTGGGGCGACGTACGCACTTTTCGAATCGATTTCTTCGTTATTAGCTTGCACAAAAACAAATTGACTATCAACACTCTATTGAGTAACATTCTATTCGATTATATATATATATATATCAATAAAGCTTCTTCTTTTTATTAATCCTTCTATTATTATTCCGTGTACGCTATCCGGAAGAATGGTTGTTGCATTTTCTTAAATTCCAAAAAATAAGATCACACAGCTGATATAATATAGAAGCTAATATAAAATATAATCTAGGCAGCAGTTTATTATATCGATCAACACAGAACAAAAATGATCGATTCCTCCAGAAAATCTTCCGATCTAAAAAAAAAAAACAAAAAAAAAAGAGAGGAAAAAAGGAATATATATATAACGGCAGAGAACGAGAACGAGAAATGAACTCGAAGTTTAGAGAGAGACGTTTAAAAGTGGCTAGCATAAACCCGACTTCACAATATCGGTGGTAGGAAGGTTCCTGAATCGTCGAGATTAGGGTCCAGGCTGGATACAATGTCACCGGTAGATGCGTGCCTTGACGTAGTTGTTGTTTGTACGCTACTTGTTGCCAATGCGTGACTACTAGCGCTACCATTTAATTTGCTTTTAACGACGAGACTGCTGCTGCTACTCTTGGAATTGTCCGTTGCACCAGCACCCCCGCCACCACCACCGCCACTGCTGCTACTCTTAGAATTCTCCGATCCGCCTACCCTCTTCATGTGTTTATCGTGCTTGAGGTAGAGAGCGAGAAGACTGTAGGGCGCGTATTCCATGTTTGAAGGTAACTGCAACGATTCGCTAACCGTCAGACGTGTTACAGTTTGGGCGTGAGATGATTGTGTCGTTTCGACTACAGCTGCCGTAGTAGAAGAAGTAGTAGTAGTAGGGTTGCTGTTGTTACCGTTGTTACCGTTGTTCGCCGTGTTGTTCACCGTTGTTGTTGACGATGTCATCGTAGACGAAGAAGACGACGAGGAGGAACTCGCGTTAACCAATGAAGAACTCAACCACTCGTGACGTACTGCTTCTTCCGGGGTCATTCGTTTCTTCGGATCCCACCTAAAATTTGATTTACAATTATATCTATATTTTGTTTATTTATACATTTATTTTTAATCATCAATAACGTTATGATCGTATTACGTTACAGATTAACCCTTTGAGTGCTGAATACTTTTTTAAACTATCATCAATCAATTATCAATCATTTATTATTTAATAATTAAAGTTTATCTTTTTGAATATAATTTCATTAATTAATATTAACGAATACGTATATATGCGTCCATAGCATTCAAAGAGTTAAAAATATCATTGAAAAGGTAATGTTAATGTAATATATATTCTTCAAGTATTTTCTACGGTATCGTTCTAAATTTAAAACTATTTTTTTTTTTTTTTTTTTTTATTAGATTATCTCCTTGCGTAGAAACACGAGTTCGCAATTGTATATATAGTTAGCAGTATAAATCCAATTTAACGCTAGGAACTTTGTGTATAACTTACTCGAGACATCTGCTAACGAAGTCGACGAATTGTGTATCGGTACATCGTAGAACCATCGCTAGATTTTTACTGCCAGCCCATCTCTTTTTACCTTTACTATTTGCAACGTATCGTGGAACACCTTTTTGATCTGTAATTTCAAGTAATATATATATATATATATATGTATATATATTTTTTGTTTCCATCAATTTTGCAATATATTCATGCACCCACACTCTCGTTTTCTAGCATCTCTTTCATCAATTGCATATCATACACTCCCACACACGTTTCTGTTCTATTTTTTAAGGTTGAACTTTTGATCCGAATTTATGGAATGAAAATTTGACATTAAAGAAAAAAATTGATATATATTTACCGAAAAAGAGTCTGCGACGTGAAGCGTTATTGATGATGTGTTCTGGAGGAAGTCCTAATACTTCCATGATGCACGCGAGTTGTTCTATCTCGTCCTCACCAGGAAACAAAGGATATCCCGTATAAAGTTCAGCCAAAATACAACCAAAGCTCCACATATCGATCGCTTTGCCATAGGGAAGACCAAGTATAACCTCTGGACTTCTATAAAACCTCGATTGAATGTACGTATATACACGTTGATGGCTGTAGCATGAAGAACCAAAGTCTATCACTTTGAGTGAACTGCTACCTCGTTGTTTTAAAAGTACGTTCTCCTGTGAACAATTGTTTTCTTTTCAAAAAAAATACGTTCTCTTGTTAAAACAATCAACATTGTTGTAAATCTAAATTATGTTAACCTGTAAAACAATTTTCTTTTTTTTTACATTTTTATATTATTTTTTGGGTTAACTAATACGAATATATAGTTGTAAGTTATTCGTTTGATTAAATTATTTGTATTATTATTATTATATTATATTATATATATGTAGAAAATAATTACCGGTTTTAAATCACAGTGAATGATATTTTCTCGATAAAGTAGTCTAAGACAATTTATCAGACAATTGGCGAATCTTCGTACTAGGCTTAAGGTGAATCCTTGGTAATTGTTCTTTTTGATTAGCTCGTACAGGTTCAAACTATTAAAATACAAAAACAAATTATAGATTCAATTTTATATATATTTGACATTTTTTATTATATAATCATCATAATTATAATATATTAACCTCATTAACTCGAAACTGATGCACAAATGATTCCTGAAATAAAAATATTCTAACATGTGTATCACATTGTGCGATGCATCGGCATCCAGATCCTTCTTTTTCAGGTGTTCCAAGATTCTAACCTCAATCAGTGCTTGATGATGGAATCTCTTTTTATTTCTACGATAAAATATATGTGTTAATAATAATAATAATAATAATAATAGAATAAATTTTAATACAAAAAAATATGAGTATATTAAATTACCTGATGATCTTGATTGCAATGTGTTGACCTGTCTTATGATCGAATACTCGAATTACTTGACCAAAACTACCCTTTCCAATTACTTCTAATATCTCGTATCTGTATAATAATAATAATAAAAAAAAAGTGTGTTGTGAAAGATATTTTTTATCGAGATGAAAATAAAAAAGAATGTGTGATAAGTTACCTGTATGAAATATGATCGTGCAGTACTTTGTTGTAACTACCATTTTCGTCATCGTAACCACCGTTTTGTGATGCACCTTCCTCACCGTGAATTTTATTCGCCGACAAACCCAAATACCAAATTTCCGAATATTTTTCTATCTCGGTACGTTCAAATTCCGGAAGTCTATATCCATAATACTTCAGAGCTTCCTGAGGTGTCATGGGCAACTTGCCGGCTGTGATTTGTTGACATCGAAAAAGAAACAAACAAAGGAGAAATTTTTTTTTTTAAATAACTTTCTCACTTTTAATCATTTTTTTGGTCAAATTAAACGAAGAACACGGGAAAAGAAACAAGAGAGAAGAACAAGAAAAAAAAAGAATAAAATCAGAATAAATTATTCGTTTATCAAATTGTTTAATTAAATACTAATGGGAGGGGTGAGGAGGGTTAGGGGGAAGGGAAGGTAGAAATTATTTACGTACGATAAACTTCATGTATGTTGTTACTGGTTGAATTGTTGGCATTCTTGGCGTTCGATTTATCCACCCGCGTGGGTTTCGTATTGAAGAACGACGGTTTCTGAAACAGAGAAACATAAACGTGTAAATCGTCGTTAATTAAATGCACCGCTATGTTTGTTCGAGCGAAAATAAAACAGGCGAATGTTTTCTTATGTGTGTGTGTGTGTGTGTGGAGATACATATATATATATATATATATACATAAGAAAGCTGCCGTTACTTTCTCTGCAAATAATGAGATTAAAATGCGTAAAAGTCTAATCTCATTGGACTAACGAACGAATCAGCATGGAAACTGTTGTTAATTTTAGAAATGTAACCTTTATCAATGATTTTTCTTTCATCGTCAATGAAATAATAATGAATCGATGAAGATGAAAAATAAATACGATTAAATATAAGATTTATTCGTATGTGCTTTTATTTTTATATATATATATATATGAATTGTTATTAATGTTATCTCGTCCTAAAAGAAAAAAAGAAAAACTTTTTCGGCTTTTTGAGGATCGTAACTTTCAGATTTATTTACCCTCAAGAGCAATGGGAACCAACCAAACCGTTTTCGGTGCAGTATTTTACAATCACCGAGTTTCTCGAGGGAAAGTGTAGGTGGGGGGAAGGGTAAGGGGTAGGGTTGAGGGGGAAGAGACGAAGAAGAAGAAGATAGAAAGAGCTCGCGTGTATTTGTTGGTGGCAACGATAAATTTCAGTCGAATGGTCAACGTTAATCTCTTGGAAGAAGAAGTTTTGGCCCTTAACGTGTTTCGCATATATCGGAAGATCGTAAATTTCCTTTCCATATTCAAATTTCATATCACATTGCGATATAATTGATGTTTATTAGATTGACTATGACAATTCGATGTGTCTCGTTTGAATAATATAAATTTTTATTATGTATAAGTACTTTTTTATTTGATAAATAAAATTGTCATATATATATATATATTTAAATCATAATTAATGATCATCATAAAATTTTAATAAAATAAAAAAGTAATAGGTACTAAAACTCTATAAAATAAAATAAAAATCTAATAAAATAAAAAGAATAATAAATAATAAAATTTAATTAAACATTTCAACATTGAAATATAATCAATGATGGATGGATGGATGGATGAATGAATGAAATGAATACATCGTAAATATTCGAAAGTGGAAACAAAACGTATAAAATATACTTGAAACACTGTGAAATCACTGTGTATGTATATATATATATGTGTGTGTGTAGTAAAATCTGTCTCTGAGTAAAACGTAAATCACGCCGAAAGGAAATAAATGATAAGAATGAAAAACGTTACTTCGAAAAGATTCGTCAGTGTTTCTCGAAAGTAGAGTTGCATTTGAGAAAGTGGGACGATGGATCGAAGAAGGTGGACCACACACACACACATCTTTGTCTCTGACTTGGGTGACCGACCCTTTTATTTTCTTCTCTTTTTTTTCTTCATCGTCATCGTCATCGTCATCGTCAGTCTCATCATCATCATCATCATCATTTTTTCTCCCCCTTCCCCCCCCCAAAAGAGTTTAATGACACGAAAATGGACGTGAAGTAAATCTCGATTATATTTCTACTTTTTTTTTTAAAATGATACAAAAAATGTTTCTTGGATTTTACCACGACCATCTTCTATCTTCACTTTCTTATTTTTCTTCTTTTCTTTCTGTTTCTTTTTTTTTTCTTTATTATTATTATTATTATTATTCATAGAGAAGAGAAGTAAGCAAGGAAAAGGGTAAGTCACACCGAGAATCCGGCATAGTTGGGCATAGGAACGTTATTTGAATGTTAATTAAACTGCGTACTGTGTACCCTTTTTGTTGTTCTTTGAAATTACACGTATACACGTTAGAAAGTTGATATACGTGTGATATCACTTATTATTTATCTAATTATTTATACAATCGTATATTTTGTCAAACGATATTAATATTTATACTTCAAATCAATATTTTGATGTTTCAATAATTCATGTAGTAATAAAGAAGATTATATTATATATATACTTAAACAGGATAATATTATTACCTATATATAGGTAATACCTATAGGTAAATAAATAAAAATAATATTACCTATATATAAGTAATATTATTAATTAATATATACCTAGAATTAATATTATAATATTATTAATATTATTAATTATATATACATATATATATATATATAATTAATACCTATAGGTAATATTATTCTATATAGGTAATATAATTAATTAATATATTAATTACAAATACTACAAATATTGTAATATAATTAATATAATTAGTTATTATATACCTATATAATAATATTACCTATATATAGATAGTACCTATAGGTAATATTATTAATATTAGTAATTAATATATACCTATATAATAATATTACCTATATATAGTTAATACTTTATAGTTAATATTATTCTATTTAATTTACAATTTGTGTGAATGTTTTTTTTTTTTCTAATAACTTTTAAATTTATTTTTCCTATTTTTATTATTTCTTTTTTTCTTTTCATCCGAACGAACACATTAACTGAATTTTATTTGAATAAATATAATAATATGTAAAACGTATCGTTTAACATATATTCGTATCAGAAATACCCTTAATAGATAAGTATAATTGAGAACGCATCAATCAATGGTGACATTATTTAAAAACCTTCGACGAAAGCCAACGCATTTCTATAATATTTAAGTTTAACATATAACTAAAGTACTCTGTAATTATGTTGCTTATTATTAGTCTAATAATACTAGATTAAAAAAAATGAACAAAAAAGACAAGAAATAGAAGATATATATTACTAATAGATGACGTTCACTGTGTCATAATTATTGAGTCAAGTATGGAATGATGGTGTCTATTTACGGGCATGATATTTGCGTTGGTTGAATTCAAAGTGGTACACACCAAGTATTAAGTAGGCTTCTTCTTCTTCTTCTTCTTCTTATTCTTATTCTTATTCTCTTTCTTCTTCTTCTTCTTCTACTTTCAATTTAAAAAAGAAGCTTCGAATAATTCTTTACGACGATCGTAAAATATCAAACCAGATTATAAATTTTGCACGTGCAAAAGAAAGTTTTATTTAACGTTAACTTTTGAGAATAATTGTTTTTATTGTTATTTTTATTTTTATTTTTATTTTTATTTTTTTATTGTGTGAAAGGAAAATACGAGAAAGATAGAAAATGATAGATAGAGAGACGGAGAGAAATTAATGTTTGTTGAGATAGTTGAAAGAAGAAGAAGAAGAAGAAGAGTGTTTTACGGAGAAGTTGGAAATTTAATTTCTTTTTTTTTTATTTTTACATACAAATGGAGACTTTATCTATGGTCGTGTAATAACGAGTCATTATCTTTCACCGTTTTAAACAAAGAAGTCGACAAAGTAAAACAAACGTTTTCTTCTTATTTACTTACAATTAGATCTTTATCATGAAATTTTGTAGATATTATCTAAGTTGATGATGATGATGATGGGGGAATTCGTTTCCTTTTTTATTTTCATTTTCGTTGTCGCAGATGTTTGTCTCACACATCTGAGACTAAGAAACCGTCAACAACCGAGGTTGGCGCCGATTGATTGGGGTTAACGACAATTAAGGCCAGACGAATGTTGGCATAAATTTCTATCAAGGGGGTCAAAAAGATATATAATAAACGAGTATTCTCACGAGTCACGATCTAACGTGTCCCTTTTCTCCTTCTTAAAGAAAAAAAAAAAAGAAGAAAAGGATTGAATAAGAAAATAAAAGAAAGAGTAAAGAAATCAATTTCTTTTCAATCTCGTGTCAAATATTCAAATTGAATATCATAAAAATCAATATCAATACAACTGATTATTAAGAGGACACAAGTTCATCGTTAAAAAAAATAAAAAAAAAAAGAATTTAAATCTAACCTAAATGGCATAACACACATATATGAAGGACAACGAATGAGAGAGGGAATATAAAAAATTAAAAATTAAAAAAAAAAAAATTACAATCTAACTTAAATGGTATAACGCATACACGTATATATATATGATGGACAACGAATGAGGGAGAATATAAAAAATAAAAAAAATAAAATTAAAAATACAACCAAAATGGTATAACAAATATACGAAGGACGACAAAAGGGATAGACAATAAAAAATAAAAATTGAAAAATAACAAAAATTACCATTTAACCTAAATGGCATTACACACATATATGAAGGACAACAAAATAGGAAAAGTATAAAAAATAAAAATAAAAATACAACAAAAATTATCATTTACAACACATATTATACGAAGGACAATAAAAAAAGGAAGAACATAAAAAATAAAAATACAACAAAAATTACAATCCAACCCAAATGATATAAAACACATACGAAGGACCACAAAAGGGGGTAGCATATAAAAAAAAAAAATAAAAAAAAATAAAAAAAGATTTATAATAACACTTTAAGAATCTTAAAATACTCCTTAGTAGTATTGATATTCAAATAATGAAAAATTATGATCGACCACCCTTGATCTGCATACATCTCATGAATAACACTTTTATACATAAACATTTGTACCTAAAAAGGGGGGAACAGAACTGGATAATAATAAAGTTAAAATTTCACAAATGAAATAAAAAACATTAAAAAAAGAAAGAAAGAACGAAAGTAAGGATAAACGTTTACAAAAATAATAATAATATCGAGATCACGAATTACGAGAAGTACTCGTAGTTTACTTGCAACTGCACTGTGTGTACAGCACCGAACCGGTGAGGAGGACAGAGGGTGGGATTCTTTCATCTCTTTTTTTTTTCTTCTTCTTTTTCTTCTTCTTCTTCTTCGTTCGAGACCAGTCACCTCTGTCACCCCTCTTTCCCCCCCCCCCTTTTTCCCTCTTTTCACGAAGCACCCTGACCAAGCGACATTGTTGAACGCGTTTAACGCGCTCATAAATAACGACGAGCAACACGCGATAGAAGCTCCTTTGCGAGCATCACAAACACACTCTTACATATATACACATTWATACATACACATACACATTCATACATACATACATACACACATATATGTA